CTTGCCCAATTAAGCAGGATACCACTTGATCCTTTGTTTTCTTTTGCTGTGCTACAACAGATTAGCATGGCTAGCCGTCTGTCTGCTTTTTCATTATGCTTTCAACATTTTTTTTTCCAGAACCTATTGGACTGAGCACTTAGCAGTGAAAGAAGAACTTAGCGATTTAGTCCTACAACAGAAAACCACATTATGATAGCATTGTTAACTGAGGATGGAGTGATTCTGTGCAACAAGGGCCAGTAACTAGGGAAAGAGGACATCTGACTCCATTCCATGTTCAGCAACATCCTGACTCTCATGAACTTCAGAACTTCACTTGAGCAGAGCTAGGGAATTTTGGGAACTGAAGTGCAAGTAAGTAAATTCTACAAACTCTGCCTATGGGTATATCTTAATCCAGCAAAATTTCTTTAGTCACAGCAGGAAGTCTTTAAAAATGAATGTATTATCTGAAGACAGGGACTATATCAGCAGCATTGTCCCTGCCCACATCCACAGATGCTTGCCCAAGTGACGCTGACAAGTCAACAGCTTCACAATCAGAACACGGCCAAAGAGCCCAAAAAACCCCACAACAATCATTTATATTTTCTATCTCGTTTTTCTAGGCAACCATCCTTCTCAGACATGTAGTTCTTCTGGACAGCGACCCCACACAATCCAGAATGCTGCCATTTTAACTGCAATGATTTTCAGCCATCTTTGAGACCAAAAGAACAGACCAAAAGATGTTCAAATAAAAAACAGTAATTTTGCCAAGGGGTTTAGGTCAATGTCTTCACATTGGAATTATTGGAGTAGCTCTTTAACAATTTCATTTACCATGTTATTAGCTCCATGCCCTTTCTTTCATTTTATAATGAAACAAGTCCAGTTAAATGCATGAAACCTCCATGCTGAACAAAGATATTTTGCTGCCTAAGACAAAGAATGGATTGATTCGTTTTCCTATTCCACATACTGTACAAAAAACACACAGGGCCAGCAGGTGAAGGTTTCTTCCACACTGAAAAGGAGGCAGCTTCCTTCACTGTTCCCGAAGGCTGGTTTAGAGTGGAGAGAGCAGCTCCCATGGCACACAACAGTCTCCCCGATTCCTTGAAATTGTTTGTGTTTTTTGTTTTGTTTTGATTTCCATCCTTACTATTGCCTGCCTATATTTACTGTGTGCAAATTTTTCTTCCTTTTTATTTTGCATGCTTGGGCAAGATGTGAACTGCTGCCCACGCCACCCCCAGTCCAACTGATACATTAATACTACTTATTAAACAGTTTGGTGACCTCTTCAGTTTTGTAATTCCCTTCCTGATTTGAGATGTGCACTTTATTTGAGCTTCTATTATTGGAAACTTGGAGTGATTAGACCCTCTTGCCTTTCCCTTTCAATTTCCCCATTTTAGTAGAGCTTCCTGTTTTGACATAAAATCTGACAAAGTTGGACTTCCTTTGCAATTTCCCACTTAACATATAATCTAAATCTGAGAGCACTATGATTACTGTTACTGTCTATTAAAGTAAGTTAAGTAATGTAATGTAACATAATGTAAGTGTCCATTGATCCTAAAGCCTCTCTAAAATCAGGTCCCAGGCAGCACCACCTAGGATTAAGTTCAGCATCCAGTTGATTCTAAGACCAGTTGCACAATCCTTTAGGATGACCAGAACTTTTACCTCTTTGTTTTGACCAGAACATTAATTTACCCAGTCAGTGTGAGAGTAACTGAAGTCAAAGTAACTGAAATGTAACTGAACAACTACAACATCTTTGAATCCACATCCCTTCTTTTGTACTCTGTCTCAAGACTACCCTGAGCATTTTAGTTAGTTAGGCATCCTTCAGTCTCGAAAGACTATGGTAACGTGCTCTGTATGGAGAACTTGAACAGTGTCTAGTGTGGCTGAGGAGGCCAATTCAAGAGTGACAATCCCTTCCACACTGAAGACAAATCCAATCTCTCCCCTGTCCAGCTCCCTGATTTTGCTGCTTTTGTGACTTCCTCTTTGCCTCGGCCCACTGGACAAGGGTCTCTTCAAAATGGGAGAGGCCATGATGCAACGCCTGCCCCCAGGCTGAACGCTCAGATGTCAGGGTTTCCCATCTGTTAAGATCCATTCCTAAGACCTTCAGATCCCACTTGCAGATGTCCTTGTATCGCAGCTGTGGTCGGTCTCCACTAATTCTCCATACAGGAGATCCTTTGGAATCCGACCATCAGCCATTCTCACAACACGCCCAAGCCAACGTAGACATCGCTGTTTCAGTAATGTATATATGCTAAAAATTCCAGCTCGTTCTAGGACTATTTGGAACTTTGTCCTGCCAGGTGAAACCAAAAATCCGTCGGAGGCAACGCATATGGAAGGTGTTCAGCTTCCTCTCCTGCCATGCACAAAGGGTCCAGGAATCACTGCAGTACAGGAGTGTGCTCAGGACGCAGGCTCTATAGACCTGGATCTTGGTATATGCCGTCAGCTTCTTATTGATCCATACTCTCTTTGTGAGTCTAGAGAAGATGGTAGCTGCTTTGCCAATGCGTTTATCCAGCTCGACATCTAGAGACAGTGTGTCAGAGATCATTGAGCCAAGGTACACAAAGTCATGAACAACCTCCAATTCTTGTGTGGAGATAGTAACAGAGAGCATTTTAGTCAGGGGGACAATACAGTATATTCCCAGTAGTAAATGACTTGTGGGGTCTATGTAGTACTGTCTCTCACAGTGATTCTGTGGAAGCATCAATCCCTCTCAAGAATTCTATCCTGTTTGACACTGTGCCTTTTGATACACGGACCAACCATGCCCACTTCCTTTCTGGAAGGAGCATGTATTCAGAGATAACTGCACTCAACTTGTTCTCTCTGTTCCACTAAGTTTCTGTTGTACCTATGTTTTCTTTTTAAAAAGGAGAACTCTAGCTGTCCCATCTTGTCTCGAGGACTTGTAGCATATGGACATTTTTTTACTTAGGCTAAAAAGTCATGTTGCCTAGCAACGTAAGGTTCTTGACTGAAGATTTGAACTCAGGCTCCCCAAGTTCTAGTCCAGAACTTTAGCCACTGTACCAAACTAGCCTGGCATTACTGGAGAAGCAATGCAGCCATCAAAGCAAAGATGCTAACTTAGGGAACAAGATAAGCTGGTCTTGAATTTAGGTGTACCTCTCGAATGTCATGTGATGGAAGGTTGAGAGGTAAACTAGTGTGGATGTTCTTTGAAATGTCCACATGAATTTTCAGAGCACAGGCTCCATGTTTGACATTCTCATTTCTTGAAATCCTGCATGCAATTTGAGAGGTCAAATGTTTTAAGGATAATAAAAAACACAGTCATCTCAGCTGAATTAACAATAAATTCCCAATTTAGATGAGTGGTAAAAACTCAATACCTTCCTTCTACCACCAACATTTTCCTTCTTGTGTGTACAAAACATTTTGGAAAAGGAAATAATGCAGAGCTCCAAGAGGTACAGCAGTTACTTGTACAAACCATTTAAATTTCTTTTGCTATCTGTTATAAATAAAATAAATGACCTAAAAATGCAGAGGAAATTAAGGATTTTCCTAGCATCTTTTTTTTTAAAAAAATTAATGGCCATGGATAGATTTTCTTTCATCACATGAGGAAAAATGAAGACAAATTAACCTGTAAAAAACTGACAGAATATCTGTCTTTGCGGGTTCCAGTGCCTAAAACATTGTGAACAGCCCTGTTTTGTAATACTACAGCCCAATGTACCTCGTTATTCTCAAGCTAAAGGCCTACAGAATATTCACTCAAAGTATCTCTCAAAACATCCAAAAACTTATGCAGGCTTAATCAATGCTTGTGGGACACTTCATTGAAAATAACCAGTAGCTTCCTGCAAAGAAGTGCTAGGAATCACAGTAGCTAAGGAACTGATTAGTAAGCATTTTGTCCCTTTTAATCTTCATGAAAAATACAACTAGATGTATTAATTTTGAGAGCTCCCATTATAGACCAGAACAACCAAAGTTATGGTATTTACCTTAAATTTGGAAGTCTTGGTATGGCAGGCAGCATTTCTCCATGCCCTTTTACTTTCTCCAGGAAGTTGCCTACATAGGAGTGTAAGATCATGTAAAAAGTCTTCTGCCCACTTATTCTTGATAGCTTGTCATTAGCATAGTATATAAACACAGTGGGGAAAGCAACTGCAGGGTTAGTGACCCTGAGCCAGGTAAAGACACTGACAATATTATACTTACATGTTGTCATTGTTATGTGCTATTAAGCCACCTCTGATACATTGCATCTTGAACAAATGGTCTCTAAAATGTTCTGCTCAGCTTTTGCAGACTTTTGCCCACTTAAGGTTGTGACTTACCTACTTAACAGTAAAACTTGCTGAGTTTGTTGACACTTTACTCTCAAGCAACTACAGAATCACAGTCACAGGTGTGCGCATATGTTTCCATACATGTAAGGATTTGGGCCATCTGAACTGTATTTTGTCTCTTGACCCTTTATTTTCTGGATTTAGATTTGCACAGAGGTTGGCAATTTAGAAGTGTGTTAGCAGCACTCCCTACAGAAATTTGGGACAGCTGTAAGGTTTCCCAGTGACAAGGGAGCAGAAAATGCAGGTTGTCTGGAGGACGGGCTCAAAGAAATAGGTGGCAGTTATTTCACTCCATCTGAATGCAGTAACTGGTCACCATGAGGGTTGAAACAAAATTAAAATATTGCAGAAATGTGTCCAGTATGAGCTATTTTACACAACATTAACAGGATAATTTATGAACCAAATCTTTGCTCTCTAATCACTCATCTGCTTCAACTCCTTTGAAGACTGACATTTCTATCTCACTCCTCCCTTCTCATTCATCCTGTATCCTATTTCTATTAAGAAGTGGAATATGTACTCAGTTGAATAGAAATAGAGATGTCATATGAGCCTCTTCAATCAAAACCAGACCATTTTCACATATTTTAAATGAAGCATTTGTTGTACAGGAAAATACCTCAACGTTCTGGGAAATCCATGGAATTTTATTTTTAAAGGAACAGTGTTTGGAAGTCGTAGCTACAAAAGCTTCCTGCCCCCACCCTTGCTCCCCACTTTAATTGGAAGTTTCAGTATTCATTAAAATTGCTTGTGAAAGGGCAAGCCTTTTAATCAGGCAATGCATCTGTGGTCAGTGTTTTTAATTGGCTAGTGGAGGGAATGGCATGTTGCTCTCTCATTGGAACTGATTAACAAACTCTTCTCTGGTGATAACAGAGGAATGGTGGTAGCGGTCCCGGGAGGCAAAATCTGTATTCTCTTCAGTGAGCTGAGTGGTCTCCATGCCAACTGTTGCAAAGGATGGTGTCACAACAAATCGCTCCTCCGGGGATGGCCTTCCCCTGAAAAACAAAGGAATGCAGAACCTTCAGATGCCCCATTGTTTCCTAATACATCTGCAGCTGTACTGCTCTGAACTGTGTAAACAAAACAGAAGAGTAAAGGAATCCACTCTGCTATGCACAAAGATTCAGCCCTTCGACAAAGAATGCAAACTTTTCCTTATGTCTCTAGGGTTTGGCCAAAATTCATCATAGACTCTTTCCTTATGGAGGAACTCTGCAAATAAAGATTTTGTCTTTATAACATATGCAATCACTTTTCCTTGGTTGTTTATGAACTGTTTCAAATTGTAAAGACATACAGAATTAGAACATAATTTATGTAAATAAATTTGTCCCCTAAGGCTAAAAATGAAAGTCATTTGAAGTGTTGTCTGCTTGCAAGCAAGAATTCTGAGAAACATTAAAAAACAAAGAGTGAGAAATCTCCAAAAGTGTATGCATCTTACTACTAATAGCATGGTAAAACACATGAAGCACATTCTATATTTTCAATGTGAGCTGAAATGTTCTCAGTGTGTTCACCTGCATTTTGCAGCAACATCATTCTTACATTGTATTCCCTACTGAAGAGTAGTAAATTTTAATTCACCTTAAATTGGTTTTAAAAATGTTTAAAAAAATACCTCAAACCTATGCAGTTTATTTTAAATAGACTAAACTAACAGCAGCTGAAAACTTGAGGTCCTTTGGAAGACATTCTCCAGTTAGCTGACACTAAAGATGGGGAAGAATACTATTTTAGAATTCATCAACATTTGCAGATTTCTTGATAGCTAGGATGCAAAGAATTGAGAGTTACAAAATATGAAAAAGAGACTAACTGATTTGTACATCCAGTCAGAACACCTGGAGTGCTTAGCTCTTAACACTGCTGCCGCCACTGCCACCTCTCCTCCTCCTCCTCCTAGACTCTTCAACAGCTGTATGGCAAATCTAGTGTATCTATTAAATGTGGCCAATGCAAATGGGGCAGAATTTAATTTCATTTCATTTTTGAAGTATTTTCTAACATTACGTATCACAGATAGGGAGGAAAAAACCTGTGGTTCCACCAATTTAAAGGTAGGAGAAATCAAAACCTTCAGATTTCCCCATCTTTAGTCTGCACAGCAAAAGCCCTACTCACTTTCACATCACCAGTTAGGGCCATGGAGTGGTTTCCACCTTGCATTCACAAAGGGTTAGTGCTGTTCCAGCTAAACTCCCAGAGCCATGTCTAAAAAGTGAAAACTAGCTGTAGGACCAAAATTGGCAATGAAATTGTGTGTGCTTTGACCTGAAACAATTTGACCTCTTTCAAAAAAACAGAGAGAAAGAGAGAGAGAGAGAAACATTTCCAAGCTCTGCTTTTAATAGCGGAGATGTAGGAGTTGGTAGATGTACTTTGTTAAATGGTGTGTAAAATATTGCACCTGCTAAAATGCACGGAAATTGCAAGAGCCGTGCTCTCCTGTGCACCTGACAGGATTGGCTGCTAGCAGATGATCTTATGCAACGGAGAAAGAATAAAAAATATCAACTGGAATGCTTTCAAAGAAGGAAAGAGCATACACAAAAAGACAAGTCTTTTTCACATGTCAAAAAGCTAACACACTCAGTATTCAAGGAGATGAAAACACTTCCTTTGTCACATCCATAAACTCCTAGATTGGTGGGAGGACTTTCCATGTTAATGAAAAAACTGATTTGCTAGGATTCTAATTAGTGTGGCAAACCCCAACATATACAAAGTCTCTCCCCCTTAAGACTATCACCCTAAAAACCTAAGAAGGTGATGGAGTGTGGGAATATATGACCAGAGCACTCTCTTCTTTTGTGGTCGGCACGCTTGTGTTTTAGCACTGGAACGGGGCTGATGTGTGTTGCATACCTATTGCATCTGCCCTGGCCAACGCAGGCAGGAGACTCTGGTCTTGGCAGATGACAATCTCAAAGGCCATTTTCTTCACATACTTTTGTCTCCTGCCTATGGTCATTGCAGGTTAGATAATCATGCAAGATGTATATTGCCTTCTTCTTCAGTTTATATGATATTCACTCTAATGTTCATAAATCACTTGCAGCAGCTCCAGTTTAACCTGGAGTTTGTAGCGCAAATCCACTACTGCCTAAGCCGTTACAGAAGATTTTCATAAACAGCTGAAAGAAGGATTGGGCTGATGACTAGTATGAAAATTAAAAAGAACAAACAAACTCAGAACCTTAGCTGACTTGTAGTAGCCTCCCGGCCCATTGTGCCACCTCAGCTCTAGAATTTTTCGATGATTCTTGATGAGAAAAAATGTCTGGAGGGAAAGGACTAAGATCACTCACAAAAACTGTAGCCTCGGGGCATAAGTGGGGCCCTCCCACTGTTACTACACAATTATTCCAGATAATTACCGTATGAAGACCAGAGTTAAGGGGAATCAAAGTCCAACAACATCTGCAGACCCAAAGATTGCTCGACCCTCCCCTGAGAGAACAATAACTGGGGTGGGGGAGCCAGTTTCTCAACTCTTTCCCTCCAGATCTTTCCTTTACCAGAAACTACACTGCCCAAACTGCTTCTACCGTGCAATAGGAAATATATGTTATGCTGGATTGTTCATGAAAAAGACCTCTCCTGGTATGTTTTTTTTAAAAAATTACCTTGAGGCTTAAGGAACTAAAGCTGCTATCCTATACACATTTACTCGGGAGTTCAGTTCCACTGAACCTGATGGGACATGCTACTAAGTAAACATGGATAAGATTAAGCAGACAGATTACGCCTCAACACCCACCCACCTGTAGGCTTTAAGCAAAAGTAGTTTAATCCATTTGAAAAAACTGAAGTTGGCTGCTGCACCTGT